CAGCCTATTGGTCCCGGTTGGTGCCACCAACCGGGACCAAAGGCCCTCCTGCGTGGGCTCGGCGCACCGGCCACGTGGAGGCCCATCTGTCCCGGTTCTGGACTGAACCGGGACTAAAGGGCCAGGGCATTAGTAACGACCCTTTAGTCCCGGTTCAGGAACCGGGACAAAAGGCCCTTACCAACCGGGACTAATGGTGGTTTATCTACTAGTGGTAGTAGCACTTCTTTCGTCTGGCGCGCTACTGCTATAGTCTTAGCTGCAGCGCGTTTATTTTTCGGACGCTAGTGGTAAGTAATAGTAGCGATTCTTTTTGACACGCGCTACTAGTACGTTATTGTGTATAAGGTTTTCCCTAGTAGTGTAGGTTTCTCTATCACAACCGAACAAGCAAGATAGATCAGGCACATTTTGCCTTTTAACCAGATTATCACTAGTAGAAAAAAAATTGTTGGCCAATAACCACAAAAAATGTGAATTTTGGGTGGCACAACCAATTTCTAGATGCAACTCATATGAACTAGGACAATCCCTCTAAAATAACCAAACTATACAAAGAACTGCTAGCATAAACCTCGTTGGACTCACTTTGCTAAACAAGCACACCTTCATTATCAGAGAAACAAGACTTGGCAATGCTAAGTCAAGCCCTTTATCCATGAGCTATTGGTCAAAGCACCTCCTAAAGGTGATTTTAAGGATAGATCCATTCCATACAGCAACAATAGTAAGGTTATGCTCATTACAAATGATGTACAAGTGCCAAAATTGGTAGCTAGACTAGCATAACCAAACCAAAGATCATCCAAAAATTTAATCTTCTTAACATCGCCTACGTTCTAGTGATACCCAATTTTTTCAGCTTTAGTATCCCACAAAACCCATTTTCATAAGGAGAGATCAATGTTATTAGGGTAAACACAGATATTAAGAGATTTAGTCTTATACTTCAAATTAGTAATTTGTTTCGAAAGCTTATTATCTTTCCGTTGATGCTTTTTAATCCAAGAGCCTAAAAGGTAGAGATTAACTTCAGAAAGATTAGGTAAGCCTAAACCCCTAATTCTTTTACAATGCAAACGAGATCACAATGGGAAAGGAGATATTTGTGATGTCCATCATAATTATCCAAAAAGAAATGTGCCATCCGAGAATCAGTCAGAGAGAAATTCCTTTTAGGTCATTTAATCACTTATCATATAGGTAGGGATACTAGCCAGACAAGGATGGATCAAAGTCACTCTACCACTATGGGCTAGTAGTTTTCCTCTCTAGCCAACAGCTCTTTTGATGATCTCATCAAAAATAGGTTGAAAATCTTCTTTCCGAATTTTAAGGTGGTGCAAGGGAAAGCCAAGATACTTAATAAGAAGAGAGCTACTCTTACAGACAATTTTCTCCACATTTGTAGCCATCATAAGACCCCATCCCCACAAACAAGGGGATTCAGTCAGGTGCACCGCGGATATGGTGGTGCATGGGCAGGGCTACAAGCTACCATTATTCAAGAATAAGAAGTTCAGAACAATGGTTTGCACTTGGTCATTAGCAACAGTTACAACTGTGTATGTGTACACTGCACACACATCATATTGGATCTGTATGATTGTTGATGATGTAATTTGTAGTTATGTAACTGGATCAAAGCTATTGTACACATGTATTCTTTTCTAGAAGTAATGGATATCCGAATTGTATGTTAACTTTTCTTGTTATTTCTTTGGTAAATGGCTATTTGTTATGCACATATATCATGTTCAATTCAACTCGTCGTCTGTTAACCCATAAAACACCAATGCGTTTGCAATTTGTAAGTTGCCTACAAATGATTTAGGCATCAGTCGGTTCTATGCAGTACCAAATCGCTGATGGGGATGCTATAGCTGTTATGATCTATGGTAGTGTGCGTCGACTGCAAATTAAAATTTTCTACGTGCAGAACAACCAAGAACATGCTACGGTAGATGGATCACGGGTCGTTACCACTAGACGCGCAATGCCGTGCAACGGAAGTAGAGTTGAGGCAGCACGTTCCCGGAGTCACCTCGGGTTCCCGGAGTCGTCTCCTCCTTGCCGGTCTTCCACACGTAGCCGATCTAATCCCTCGAACAGGTACGCCGGAGCAACGCAAATGCACCGCCTCTAACGGTATCCGCGCGTGCAGGAGGAACTTCGTGCGGCGGACTGCTAGGTCCGATCACACAACCAGCGGCGAGTGGAGGTGGCTAGTTACAACACGTGCAAAGCCCTAACGACTGCACAGAAGCGATCAACTCAATAAGTGTGCCGCATCTCTACTATTTATAGGCATCTGTCGCGGGCTCAACACTTAGGCCTTGCACGGATCCTAAAGCCCAAAGTCTACTCGGCCGCGTTCCAAGTCCAACTCTGATCACATCCGACCAGTGTCCTTCAAACCGACCTCATAGGTTCCTTCCCTTAAGCGCGCGACCCCTTAGGTTCAAGTCGGCTTGGTCACAGTTTGGATCACCTCCGACCTGCACGGTTGGTAGCGGCCTCTAGCAAAGCGTGCCGACCACCAAGCAGACTATGAAGCTGGTTAGGCGAACTTGTACAACGTGTCACACTTCTGTTCCCTTTGCCACACGATATATGTTGTAGGGCTGAAGGCAAGACTGTCATCCTTGTGCTAGCCCGACCTCTTTCTCGCTCTAGTGATACCGACCACAAGCTGGATTATCTCATAATCCTTGTCGCATGGCCATGCTTATCCTGGTCGGATCACACGATGGTCCCATAATATATCTCTCCTGATCAGAGGGGGCAAATCTCATCTTGCTCGACCATGTCTCGCAGCATCGGTCTGGACAAATCCGAAACCTACCTTTGTAACTACCCAGTCACGGAGTAGCGTTTGGTCGCCCCAAAGCAAGTCTGTCACCATCCCGAATACATGCCTCAGCTCAAGTCTTAGGACATAGAACGTATGTTGTATTAGAGACTCACATATGACAGATCGCTGTGTCTCATAGTTGGGTCTGTTCGAAGTCTTTGGGAGGATGCACGGTTGGAACCCATATGGTCACAGATTATGCTTTGTCTCGGAAGAGTAGATGGAGTTTCTTTTGATTTTCGTCGCTAGTCTGTTTCTAGATTGGATGATGTACATTTGTCGAAGTAATGTTACTCTTCCGCTGTAGCTGATGGGTTTTTGCATCCTTTAGATATGGTCATACGTCTAAGATGTAGGCTGATGGTTTTCCTTTCATGTTGCTGGATGTGGTGTTGCATCCATTAGCAGAAGAAAGTACCAGATGTAATTCTGTGATTTGGTGTATCCTGACTCCATTTTCTTTAACGAAATTCATCGAAAAAGGAATATATGTCGTACGTACGTGATGTTTTGAGTCGTCATGTGATAGGGTTACGACTACGACTAGCTGACGGATGTGATTTGTTATTTCAAAAAGATACATCAGATCAGAACACCGCAGCACGTTCTTAGTCAGTGTAGCGGAGGTCACACACCAACCACCATTGGCCGGCAGATTCAGGCCAACAAAACCAATTTTCAAATGGTATAGGAGCAGCGCACTTGCACTCCACCGCTAACCTTCTTGTTGATTGTTATTTCGCCATGAGCTCTCGCGTGCGAGTTATCGACGTCACCCGTGTCCACCCTGCCCGTGCCACTGCCGCCGACGACCTCGAGCTCGCCTTCTTCGACATCGCGCAGATCGCCAAGATACCGATCCAGCGGCTCTTCTTCTTCGACGGTCCCGGCCTCCCGCCGTTCCCGTCCGTCATCAGGGCCCTCAGGTCCTCTCTCGCCGACACCCTCGCGTCTTCTTCCCGCTCGCCGGCGAGCTGGCCTTCCGCCCCTCCTCCGGCGCCGTCGTCGCTGCTCCCAGGCCGCGGTCTCCTCCGGCGTCAGGTTCGTGGAGGCAGAGTACTTGGGCAGCGCCGACGACTTGCGCCGCCTGGCCCGCGAGGAGGACCATGACACCGAGGGGTTCTCGCAGCTTGTCCCTGACCTGGACGTGACGCAGCTGCCGGCTCGCGTTCTCTCCGTGCAGGTCACCAGGCCGGCCGCGGGCCACGGCGCCGTGGCGGTAGGGGTGACCATCCTGCACGCGGTCGCCGACGGCCAGGCCGTGTGGCAGTTCATGCGGGCGTGGTCGACGGCGGCGCGGGAGAGGGAGGGCGCCGCCGCGGCAGGGGGGCTCGTGCCCACGCCGACGTTTGACCGGTCCCCGATCCTGCAGCACCCCATCGCCGCGGAGCTGTACCGAACGTTCTTGCGCTTCTTCGCGCCGGCGCTGCCTCTGGTCGGTAACCCGAAGATCTACGATTCGTTTTGCTTCCTTGGTCCCAATTCATTCAATTCGCATGCCCGAACAATTTGATGGCACAGCTCAGGTCACCATCCAGTTCCAGTACATCTTCCACGGTGGACACGGCGCCGCAGATCCGAAGGACCTTCGTGCTCACCGCCGACCGGATCCGGTCCCTCAAGCAGCAGTGCACTCCGCCAAGCGGAACTGCTGACCAGGGCCAGTCGCCGGCGAGCACCTACGTCGCCATCTTATCCCTCGCGTGGGCGTCCCTGGTCCGCGCCAAGTCCATGGACCACGCGGACGACACCCACTTCCTGGTCGCCGCGGACTGCCGGCGCCGGCTGCGGCCGCCGCCGGGTGAGGGCTACTTCGGGAACTGCATCCGGCCGTGCTTCGCGAGGGCCAACGTGGGCGAGCTGTGCGGCCAGGGCGGGGTCGCGCGCGCGGCGGCGGCCATCCGGGAGCGCGTCCGCGAGGACCTGGAGCGGGCCTCGGACCCGCTGGAGGGGATGGAGCGCGTGCTGGATGTCGTCCGTGGCATCCCCAAGGAGAGGCTGACCTCGGTGGGGTCGTCGCACCGGTTCATGGCCTACTAGACGGACTTCGGGTGGGGCGCCCCGAGCCGCGTTGAGCTCGTCTCCATGTTCTCGGCGGAGCTGGTGACGCTGCTCGGAGCGAAGGAGGCCGGCGCCGTGCAGGTGTCCGTTGCGCTTCGCCGGCCTTTGATGGAGGCGTTCGCGGCCAACTTCCTTGCGCTGGCCGGGAGCAGCTAGCGACCATAGAATCTCTTTTTTTTTGGCTGCCAATTTGGCCAATGCTTCTTCTTTTCCTGCAGGAAATGAACCGATTTCCTTGAAATTCCCGCGAAGTGTGTGTCAAATGTTCATCTAGAGCGTGTCAAATGTTTGGCCGTAAAAATAATAATGGGCTGGCTATTCGTAGGGGAAATTGACTATTTGTTTATCAAGTTCGGTGTACTTTGATTATAACCAGTGGCGGAGCTTGGAAGAAATCTTTGGAGAGGCGAAGCTGTAAAAAATAAATCAGTAAAACGAATACAACAAATTAAATTAGGCAAATATTGAGAAACTTTGAGTATGGTTTTCTCTTCCGACGTCTTAGTTGTATGGGATGTCAGATCTGAAGTTCGATGACTAGTCTTGGGTGTTGCTCTAGTCTGATTCGTTCAATGGCAATGGTTTCGTCTTTGGCGAGCCACCTTGGAGGTCTCACAAAGCCGCATATAAGTGATGGAGCCGTGCCGAACTCGGGTGCGGAGGTGATCCGTCATTTTTTTCCTTTGGTGGTTGCTGTGGTGGTGCAAGAAGCAGGTGACGGACGTTGGTGTCAAGCTCAAAGGATTCTTCAACTTGTTTGTAATTTACTTATTGGCTGGTGTTCCTTTGTGCAAAGGCTAGCATTCTGCTCTCTTTTCAGTTTTGACAGGTCGGTATATACGTGACTTGTGCTATGATCCTTATAAATGAGACACATATTACCATGAAAAAAAACATAATCAAAATTTTAAATTAGTATTGATCACATCTCTGTGTTATTAAAGACCCAACTATCTGGGAAATGTCAGGTTTGCAAGGTTCCCACGAATCCTTTTCCCGGGAGGGGAAACGATCGAGTCATTTGACTTTGCCTTTTCAATTGTGGATCCACAATTTTTTTTTAGTTTTATGTAGCATAGAAATCAACATATACCTCCTTTGTTTCTAAATATAAGCCTTTTTATAGATTTCATCATCAAAAAGTAACTTTGGTGGACATGAGCATTGGAGCCCTATATTTTGAATAGCGCCAAAATGATATTTTGATGTTTCAAAAAAATTCAAAAACAATTCCTCGGGTTCATATGGATGTACATGTGCAAATTCTGATGATGAAATAAGTAACCATGTGAGCTACACACAAATGACAAAATCATGATTTTGGAAAGATGAACAGTGTATGTATTACTCACTATTTATATATCATCATTTTGTCTTTTTGCAGAGCTCACAATTTATTTATTTCATCACCAAACTTTACACGTGTGTAATATCCATCCATATAATCATGTATAGTTATTTTCGGGAGTTTTAAAAAATTTAAATGTGATTCTTAAACTATTTAAAATAAAGTCCTCCAATGCATCCATGTTCCAAAAATCCACTCTCTTTTAATATAAAAAATCATGTAGATTCACTCATTTTTTATTGTAGATTCACTCATTTTGCTCCTTGTGTAGTCCCTATTGGAATCTCAAAAGGGTTTATATTTAGAAATGGAGGGAGTATTTTTTGATATAAAAAGTGTAGATATATGAACATGTATGTAAGATAATTGAATTGAGGATCACGCATAGGGAAAATGATTTCCAATCTCAAGGGAAGATGGCATAATAAGGTGGAGAGGTCCAGTGGTGGACAAGTGATCAAGGAGATGAAGTCGTATCTCCAACGTTTTCAGGGGTTCAAGCTACAGTTTGTGAGAAGAGGAGCAAATATGGCTGCACATGTGTGTGCACGGGAGGCTCTTACTATTACCATTAGCTCTATTAGTCTCAAATGTAATCCCTGAGTACCTGATCGAGGTTGTTCAGTCAGAATCTGTTCCGCCAAGCTATGAATAAAGTGCCATGTTGGGCGGTTCTCAAAAAAAAGAAAAAAGAAATCTCAAGGAAAGAGAAGGAACTTGTCTTTGCATAGGAGTGAATCAATCCAAAAACTGATCATAGTTATGAACAAAACTCTGTATGCCCAGCGACAACGATCAGGGTTCTTGGGCTAATGAGGCACCCAGGTTTGTTGACCACTTTGGCCTTCAGGGAGGAAGTTTGCTCAACTACATTGCGTATTTTTCGCAACAACAAAAAAAACATTGCGTAGGACTAAAAAAATATCTGGTTGCTGTAAGAAAGACTTTCACATTCGCTGATATACATCACATTAAGATCGTCAAACGGCAACATAGCCCTAGGATGTACTTACAGTGGTCAGGATTCAGGCGCTAGTGACCAAGTTTGTTCACCTTCAGAGATAGAAAAGTTTGTTCACCTTCAGAGATGAAAAGTTTGTTCAGGTGGTACATTCTCACCCAGATAAAAGAGCAAGTTGTACATCCGAATACATCCCATTAAGAATTTGAGACCAATCATAAGATCTGAAGCGTACATCATGCTAATTAGAAGTTCACGACTAGATGGTACATACCATAGCACTATGACAAGGATAACCAGAACCAGGCTGGTTGATCAACATACTACTAACTAATAACTTAAGTTGCACAATAACATATCACTAGGATAAAGATGGGCAGAACCCAGGCTGGGTTGGTTGATCGCAAAGCTTCAGCAGAGCAAGACGAGAATCTGCACACCCCTCTGTTGATAAAGCTTCAGTAGAGCAAACCCTGCTGGATTGATCACACAGCTTCAGGAGGTCAAAACCATGTCGGGTGCCACTGGCCAGCATCATGTGCAGGTGCTGCAGTCTGAGACATCAATGGCGTGATCCTCTCATTTCGCATGTTGTACACACCAGAGTCACGAAATGGACTCGAAAAATACTTCAGATGGGGATAGTCACAAATGAAGTAGATGCAATCTTCTTCAGATCCGCTGCATTCTCTAGCAGGCATGGACTTGGAGCCATGCTGGCCAATAAAGAGAGCATGCCCACCCAACTCTTTGATCCTTCTCCATCGGCAAGGGTTGGAGTGCAAGTCTGCCTCAAGGACAACAAACCCACCAGTCTGCATATTTTCAAACACATAATCCCTAGAGAGAGGGCCTATGCGACGAATAAATCGTCTAACCATCAACAGTCTACCACCACATTCAACTAGATATAACCTGTATGTACACACTTCCTCTCTGGGAATGCATTCTGGTCCTCCACGACAGTCACCCAAAGACTCAATTACGCATTCGATCTTCGGCTTACTACCAAGGTTGTTATGAAACTTAAGGCTGAAGAGCTTGCCAAAGACAGACACCGCGTACAACTTTCCATCAAAGAAGGCAACATCAAATAGGTGCTGCAATGGCTTCCTATTGCCCTGTACCATGTAAGTGGCAATCGGTGGCTGGCTAATGCAAAGTGTACCATTGCCACCATCCTTGGTCAATGCCGCAATGAGGGAATCAGGTGATATGTCCAGGGCCGAGGGTGTGACCAACTTGTACAAAAGTTGCTTAGGATCAGATTCATAATGCGCCTCACGCCGCCAAACTGTGACCAGATTAGGAAACTCGAACGTGGTCTTGGAGAAAGGGTTCATCAACGTGCATGTGTCATCACTGCTCATGAGGAATAACTAGTTGTCGACAGAGCCACAGCAACTAGCATCATCTGGTACAGGCATGCGGTGAACCTCGCCTCCTGGGATGCTGAAGAAGGTACCATCAGGGAGGGTGAGCCACGGGAATGGGAGGGGAAGCTGTTGTAGCAGACCATTAGAGCACCATGGGTGACAGACTGCCCTCAGACGAACACGGTCAGCTAGGGAAGGGAGGCGCTTGAGGACAAGGCCCAGGAGTTTCGGCGGAAGATCTGACCAAGGTCTATACTGTGGAGCCACCATCACGCAAGTCTACAAGAGAAGAAATATGAGTCATAGTTAAAACAGAATAAAAACTGCAACTTGCGATGCTTATTGTACAATTCTAACAACAAAGGCCATCAACTCAGTATAATAAAAGAAGCTGAAGAAGTTCAGAGCATAATGAGAATATGAAGATGCGGCAGAAACCATCCATCCACCAGACAGAAAGAAAGTACTAGTAAAACTAAATCCACCATACCACCTAACCTTGCACTACGTATGCCTGCAGTAAGCAGTAAGTAGTAACTGCAACTAAACTTAGACAGTGCGCTTAGGCATTTTTCTTCAGAGAATGAGGAGCATGAACAAAAAAGAGAGTAAGGATCCTTTGACTGGCGTCTTATGACTAGAAATAACAACAGGAGCAGAGTATGACGAGCTATAAAATAATTTTGTTCTTGTGATGGCCCCACATCAGTGATCCTCCTAGTCGAAGTACACATGTCATTTCCATTTTTGTTTTAGACTAAAAAGGCTCACGGCATTCATATGTGATATGTGGTGTGTGTTGAAAAGGAAGTGTTGTGTTATTCAAGTACATGGCGAAGACGAAGCGCATCCCAGAAAAGTATATTACTGGATATCTTTTGTTTGTAGGGCAATTGTCGGATCAAATGAACTCCGTTGTCTCAACTAAAAGAAAACAAGTTTTCTTCGATGAGGTAAAGTGGCAATCTGTGCCACTCTGCTTCATGTAGAGCATGCTGAAACGGTGATAGGCCTGCACCGGACAGCCAAGTATATATTTCCTCACCATTTGTACCAGGCGGAATAGATAGATCTACTGAAAGGAACAAATTTTGGGTAGGTAAAGTAGTAATCTGCAAAACATGTGCCATTTCTTTTCTTTTCTTTCAGGAACAGGGTGAAACAACGGGAGATGCGCGTCAGATAAAAACTGCACTACCACTGCACAGATGATAGATCTACTGAAAGAAAGAAACAATGTTGGTCAGGCGGAGCATCGATCTGCCCAACCAGCTCAAGTGCTAAAATCCTAGGTGTAGGTAGGCACTGTCACATCGCGGAGACGGAGGAGCTCACCGCTTACGAGTCTTGAGCGCCTAGTGGCCTGGCCTGGCCAGCGAGAGAGGAAGAGGTGGAGGAGGACGGAGCCGGGCGCCGGCAGCTGGATCTGGAATCTCCCGCGAGGCTCACATCAGGATTCAGGAGGAGCTAGGGTTCGCAACCTAGCTGTGGGTGGGGAGGAGAAGGGGAACAGGATATGGCATGGAAAGCTAGGTGTTGGTTTTCTCTCACTTGATACGAAAGTGTGTTCATTTCTACACTTTTTTTTTTCTGTTTGAAGAAATAGTTTAAAAAAATCACAAAGATGGCTCTGATATAATATGATAGACATCAAAACATTATAATAATTAACTGAGATTCTTGAACCGCGAGACGACCATTGCGACCACCATATGGAGCCCCTGATGTGTCATTATCGCAGCTCCCACTCCAGGGCCAAGGAGTTATACTCTTCAGTCGCCCAAGCGTTAGCCGCGGCGGTGGCAGTCTCTTCAGCAGCCTAGTTCTCGGCGGCCTCCTTGTCAGCTTCGAATTGCTGCTCATGGTGATGGCGAAGGCTGCGAATACGTAGTGAAAGTAGACGAACGAAGGCGAGCAATCCCATAGGAGACACCCCCAAAAACCTAAATTGCCTCTCTCCCATACAGGATCTCGAGAGGCGGGGTTTCGGAGGTATGCTCTCTGATCATTGGTGCCAGCAATAATAGAGAGTGGAACGACGGTGGCAGTGCGCGTGGGGGCAGAGAAAATGTGATATGTTCTTCATTACGGCTAGGGTTAGCCTCCACCTTCAACATATAGCCTTGGCCGGGTGGTGAGATGTGGGCTGAACCCATGTTTGAGTCGGTAATAGCCCATGATCTGACGTCTTAGATCATGACTCGTCTGCTAAAGACTTCTCCGTTCCTGCCAACAAAAAGTAAGCGCAAGCGTAGAAGTGACATAGGTCTGAGCTCGGCTTGGCTCATTCTCGAAACATGACGCGCGCGCATGCTGTGGCGAGGTGGGCAACGAAGGAGGAATGTGCGGGAACCACTTCTCTTTTCAAGCTCCAATAGGATGTGGAAGAATAACCCTTGTAAAATGGTTCAACTCTTTCTTCAAATCTTGGGTGGGACTAAACTTTCCACTACTAGTCGCGTAACCCACATAGGCCCTTAAGAGTTTTTTAGAAATTGTTTAGATGGTTTAACAAAATCTGATGTACGAGGGGGACTACATCTATGTCAGGGTTAGTGCGAAAGGTAGATAAGGGCTTGACCTGTTTTTGTCCCCTTGAAAGTCACTGGTGAAGAAAGGAACACTAGTAGAAAAAGGGCCTAATGTGAAGCACATTAGTCCCGATTTGTAACTGAACCGACACTAATGTGATCATTGGTGCCGGTTCCAATGGCTAGGCGGGCGACACCCATTAGTACTGGTTCATGGCTAACCTTTAGTATCGCTTCGTGCCACGAACCGGTACTACAGAGGCGGTGGCAGGCTGGTGGCAGGCTGCGGCCCCCACCAGCACCTTTAGTACCGGTTCATGCCACGAACCAGTACTATAGATGAACCGTTAGTTAATTCTTTTTGCTATTGAAGAATATTATAGCTATGTTTAAGTGGATCATAACAAAATTAGTCCCACCTCGCCAAGCGAGAGGGATTGGCATCAGTTTTATAAGCCCTGAGTGCAGAGACGAGGAACGATGAAGGAGAGGCGCAATGCTCACCTGCACGTTGCTTAGCTTCAGGCCTTGAGGCAACGTGTCGCTGAGCATCGCGACTCTCCTTCATTTTTAATAACTAATTTTAACTCTGGACTTTTTTGGTTCATTATGCACCATTTAAAGGCACATCATCAATGTTCAACTCTTCTCTGCCTTCATTTGCTATCATTTACGGAAAAGGTTCAACTCCGGACTTAATTTTCAGCTCATTTACTGATTTTTTTAACTAAATGACCCTGAAATTGAAATGCACTACAAATGAACTCTGAAAAAGTTGAAAGTTGGCATGGTATAATCATTCCACCCATATAGCATGTGCAAAAAAGTATAGAGGGCTACGGTAAAAACTGGATGCACTTCGTGTACAAAATGGACAATCTCTTACGAAGTATCAGGATTTCAGACGAAAACTCATATGTTACAAAGGCATTTCATTTTTCTAAACATATTACAACTCCAAACTTTTCGTGCGTTCAGTATGCACCATTCAAAGCCATGTCATTGACTTTCAACCCTTTTTGACATCATTTGCTAATTTTCAGCTCATTTACTGATTTTTTAGCTAAATGACCCTGAAATTGAAAAGCACTACAAATGAACTCTGAAAAGGTTGAAAGTTGGCATGGTATCATCATTCCACCCACATAGCATGTGCAAAAAAGTAGAGAGGGTTACAGCGAAAACTGGATGCACTTCTTGTATAAAATGGACAATCTCTTTCGAAGTATCAGGGTTTCGGAAGAAAACTCATGTGTTGCAAAGGCATTTCATTTTTTTAACTTATTACAACTCCAAACTTTTTGTGCGTTCAGTATGCACCATTCAAAGCCACGTCATTGACTTTCAATCCTTTATGACATCATTTGCTAATTTTCAGCTCATTTACTGATTTTTTAGCTAAATGACCCTGAAATTGAAAAGCCCTATAAATGAACTCTTAAAAGGTTGAAAGTTGGCATGGTATCCATTCCACACCCACATAGCATGTGCAAAAAACTAGAGAGGGTTACAGCAAAAATTGGATGCACTTCATGTACAAAATGGACAATCTCTTTCGAAGTATCAGGGTTTCGGACGAAAACTCATGTGTTGCAAAGGCATTTCATTTTTTAAAACTTATTACAACTCCAGACTTTTTGTGCGTTCAGTATGCACCATTCAAAGCCACACCATTGACTTTCAACCCTTTTTGACCATTTGCTAATTTTCAGCTAATTTACTGATTTTTTAACTAAATGACTCTGAAATTGAAAAGCACTATAAAAAGAACTCTGAAAAGGTTGAAAGTTGGCATGGTATCATCATTCCACTCACATAGCATGTGCAAAAAAGTAGAGAGGGTTACGGTAAAACTGGATGCACTTCGTGTACAAAATGGACAATCTATTTCGAAGTATCAAGGTTTCAGACGAAAACTCATGTGTTACAAAGGCATCCATTTTTTTAAACTTATTACAACTCCAGACATTTTGTGTGTTCTACATGCACCATTCAAAGCCACGTCATTGACTTTCAACCCTTTCTGACATCATTTGCTAATTTTCAGCTCATTTACTGTTTTTTAGCTAAATGACCCTGAAATTGAAACTACAAATGAACTCTGAAAAGGTTGAAAGTTGGCATGGTATCATCATTCCACACCCACATAGCATGTGCAAAAAACTAGAGAGGGTTACGGCAAAAACTGGATGCACTTCATGTAGAAAATGGACAATCTCTTTCGAAGTATCAGGGTTTCGGACGAAAACTCATGTGTTACAAAGGCATTTCATTTTTTAAACTTATTACAACTCCAGACTTTTTGTGCGTTCAGTATGCACCTTTCAAAGCCACACCATTGACTATCAACCCTTTCTGACATCATTTGCTAATTTTCAGCTCATTTACTGATTT